AGGCAATCCACTCACCTTAGCCTCCCAAAGCGCGGGATTATAGGCTGAGCCACTGAGCCCAGCTGTTGTTGTTTTTGAGTCGGATTCTCACTATCGCCCAGACTGGAGTATAGGGACATGCTGACAAGCACTGCAGCCTCAACCTGCTGGGCTCAGGTGATCCTTCCACCTCGGCCTTCCAAGTAGCTGAAACCACAGACACGTGCTACCACAATTTTTCGATTAATTGTAGAAACAAGGTCTCGCCAAGTTGCCCAGGCTGGTCTTGAACCCCTGGGCTCAGAAAATCCTCTTGCCTTAGCCTACCCAAGTGCTGAGATTACAGGCGTGAGCCACCACCACACCTGACTTCTTAAATTTTTGAGTTGGGGTCTCACTCTGTCGCCCAGTTTGGAGTGTAGTGGCATAGTCACGGCTCACTGCAGCCTCAACCTCCTGTGCTCAAGCGATTCTCTGGCCTCAGCCTCCTGAGGAGCTGGGACTACTGGCACGCACCACCACGCCAGGCTAATTTTTAAATTTAAAAATTTTTAACAGTTGTCTAATATTCCACAGCCAGAGTGCAGCGTGGTTAACTAACTGAACTTCCATCAATAGCCTCCTAAGTTAGTGCTAGTTCCTGACCGTGATGATCCCTTTCATGCGCACCGCCTTCACTGGGTGACACAGGACAGTCTGGGGGGCATCCCCATCCCACTGTCCCCTCTCTCGGGTTCCAGCTGCCACCAGCTGTGTGTCTCCCCCACCCCCCAGGTCAGCGACTGGTGGGAAGAATTCGTGTACCTGCGCTCCCGCAACCCACTGATGGTGAACAGCAACTATTACATGATGGTGAGACGCGAGAAGGGGCGGGGCGGGGGTAGGGCTGGGGGACCGCAGGTGAATGTGCCACTTAGGATCTGTCGCCTGAATCGGGCGCCACAGCCTGGGATTCGTCATTCCGACCTCTTTTGGGGTCAGGACCTTGATTTGCAGTCAGCCTCCCCACCAGGGCGAGCCTGAACCCTGGTGTTCTGCTGACCCCTCTGTCGGCCCCCAGGACTTCCTGTATGTCACACCCACGCCTCTGCAGGCCGCGCGTGCGGGGAACGCGGTCCATGCCCTCCTGCTGTACCGCCACCGCCTGAACCGCCAGGAGATCCTCCCGGTAAGAAGGCCACCGTGGTGGCCGGGCACGGTGACTCATGCCTATAATCCCAGCACTTTGGGAGGCCGAGGTGAGAGGATGGCCTGAGCCCAGGGGTTCGAGACCAGCCTGGGCAACTTGGCGAGACCTCGTCTCTACAATAAATCAAAAAATTAGCTGGGCGTGGTAGCTGCACCTGTACTTCCGGCTCCTTGGAAGGCTGAGGCGGAAGGATCGCTGGAGCCCAGCAGGTCGACACTGGGGTGGCCGTGAGTGTGCCACAGCGCTCCTGAGTGACAGAGTGAGACTCTGACTCAGAAGAAAAAAAAAAGGCCACTGTGGACTGGGATGGCAGTGTGGTCCTGTGGTCCTGGTGCCACATGGGTCCGGGTGGCAGCCCCTGAGCCCACATTCTCTTGCAGAATTTGCTGATGGGGATGCGCCCCTTATGCTCTGCCCAGTACGAGAAGATATTCAACACCACACGGGTTCCAGGGATCCAAAAAGGTGAGAATCCCCCCCACCCTTCCCTCCCCACCGATAGAGGCAGAACAGTGTAGTGGGTAAGAGCACATTTTCTGGAATCACCCTGCCTGAGTTCAACTCCATCGCTTGCTGTGTGACCTTGGGCACGTTATCACCCTCTCTGGGCCTCAGTTTCCACATCTCAAAAATGGGATAATCATGGTACCTAGGGTGGTGAGAAGTGCTCGTTAATCTTATGTGTTCAAGCCGGGCTTGGTGGCTCAGCCTGTAATCCCGTGCCTTCGGGAGGCTGAGGTGAGTGGATTGCCTGAGCCCGCAGGTTCGAGACCCACCTGGGCAGGCGAGACCACATCTCTACAATAAATCAAAAGAAAATTAGCTGGGTGTGGTAGCAGTGCACCTGTAATTCCGGCTACTCGGAAGGCTGAGGCAGAAGGATCGCCAGAGCCCAGCAGGTCGAGGCTGCGGTGGCCGGGAGCAGCCACTGCACTCCAGTCTGGGCAACAGAGTGAGACTCTGACTCAAAAAAAAAAAATCTTATGTGTTCGGCCTTCCCACCCCCACGCTTCTGTCATCGCCACCCCCAGACTACATCCGTCATCTCCATGACAGCCGACATGTGGCTGTCTTCCACCGGGGCCGATTCTTCCGCTTGGGGACCCACTCCCGAAACGGCCTGCTTTCCCCGAGGGCACTGGAACATCAGTTTCAGCAAATCCTGGATGACTCCTCGCCTGCCTGTCCCCATGAGGAACATCTGGCCGCCCTGACCGCTGCTGCTCCCAGGTAAGGGTCTGAGGCCGGGGCTCTCAGAGGCCCGGCGCTGTTCTGAGGCTGTGGAGGGGCAGGTCGGGCCAGGTGGAGGCTGGATTCAGGCACCTCCCGGCCTCCAGGGGCACGTGGGCCCAGGTGCGAAGGACCCTGAAGACCCAGGCAGTGGAGGCCCTGGAGGCCGTGGAAGGGGCCGCTTTCTTCGTGTCGCTGGACTCAGAGCCCGCGGGGCTCTCCAGGGAGGACCCAGCCGCTTCGCTGGACGCCTACGCCCATGCCCTGCTGGCCGGTCGCGGCCATGACCGGTGAGTCGGTCCTGGGACTGGGAGCCCACCCCAGACCTGGCACCCCGGAATCGAGGATCCGGAACTAGGACCCACAATCCTAGACAACCAGACCCTGGAGTCCAGACCAGTTCCAGGGACCAGTTAGATCTGAGGACCCCAGACCCAAGACCTTCTGGAGGCCTCTGACCCGGAGTACCCCTTGACCTGGGACCTCCAGACATATAACCCAGAACCCCAGATCTAAGACCCCCAAACTGCTGACCTGGACCCTCAGACCTAAAGAACCCCTAGACCTGGGACCCCAGACCCATAACCCAGACCCAGGGACCCCTGACCCAAGACCCTCAAACTCCTGACCTGGACCCTCAGGTCTAAAGAACCTCTAGACTTGAGACCCCAGACCCATAGCCAGAACGCCAAATCTAAGACTCCCAAGCCCCTGACATGGATTCCCAGACCTAGAGAACCCCTGAACCTGAGACCCCAGACCCATAACTCAGCATCCCAGACCCAGGGACCCCAGATCTAAGGACCGCTAAACCCCAAACAGGACTCCCAGATCCACAGACCCCTACACCCTGAACTTGGAGACCTTAGATTCAGAGCTTGGACCACTGAATCCTCAGGCCTTAATGCAGGCACCCCAGACCCAGGGCTCCAGACTGGACTCCCATTCTCAGACCTAGAGATCCCGAGAACACTTCAAGATGCCTGCCAGGCATCGCTCTGCCTTCTAGGCCCCAAGAGGATCCCCAGCTTCCCAGTACCCTCAAAAGCCTCAAACCTTTCTGAGCAAGTCCCTGAAAAGTCTCCAAGCTCTGAAACCTAGACACGTCTTGGAGACCCTCCGGAGCCCCCCACCAGAGGCCCGCAGTGCCTGGAGATGCCCACCCAGCACCCCAGCTGATCCGCACCCCCCACCTCCAAACCCCCCTTCAAGTCCCACAGAAAGCACCGAGTTCCCCTCAGCCCCGCTCTCGGTGACCCCTCTGAACTATCCCGACAGCTGGTTTGACAAATCCTTCACTCTGATTGTCTTCTCCAACGGGAAGCTGGGCCTCAGCGTGGAGCACTCCTGGGCCGACTGCCCCATCTCAGGACACATGTGGGAGGTAGGACAGCCAGCCTCCTCCCATCCTGGGGACCCCCCCGAGCCCCATCTCAAAGACCATCTTCTCCAGAGTCTTAGAGTCAGCAGAGAAACTGAGGCTCAGAGCAGGGCAGAGGCCAGCCCAGGGTCACCTGGCAAAGAAGTACTTTTGGGGTAATAACCTTTCTTTGATGAGTTGGTCATTGGAGCTCAGGGAGGGGAAGTGATCTCCCCACAGTCACACAGAGAGGAATGCAGAGAGAATCCAGAATGTTCTGACACTGGAGCGTGAGACCTTCACCACGTCAAGCTGAGTCAGAAGGACTAACTGCCAGTTCTGATTTGCTGTGTGACCTTGGGCAAGTTACTCCCCTCCTTTGAGCCTCAGTTTCCCCCTTCATCCAGTGAAAGGGTTGGAACTTCCTTTATCTTTGAGCTTCTGTCCAGCCCTGAGAATTTTGGCCTGTTTTCTCTAAGTCCCCTACATCCAAATGAGGTTCCATTCCAAGAGTGTGTTCATTAAGTCCAATTTGTTCGTAAGTCCAACAAAGTTGACCTAGGTACCCGACAAACACAATCGGCTAGATAGTACCAGCCACATCACCACTGCTTTTACGCCTGCTTCCAGACATCCTGGGTTTGAAATAAAGATACTGCACTACTGTACTCTATACAGCAGAGTACACAAAAGCACAACCATTTGTAGAGGATACACACAGGTGACAATGTACACCAGACATGTGAACTTACGTGATTGGACATGCGAACACACCTTTGCATCTCTGAAAGTTCACAACTTGAAGGTTCATATGTAGGGGACTCACTGTACTTTATTTAGTCCCTAAATCACAGGACGCGGTTCCTGCCCCTGTGGTGTCCCCCATCCTCCATGGGGTTGAGTAGGGGTCCCCAGCCCAGGGCAGGGCCGATGCATGTCTGCAGGGAAGGGTGGTCCTTTTCTGACCGTGAGAACAGCCCCAGGTAAGCACTGATCCTGCTGTGTCTGTTTCTCATTTATAAATGGGAATTTCCCCCTTTTAATTCTATTTATGTATGAAATTCTCAATTCAGTGTCACCTCAGACCCTTAGGCCACTCTTTGCCGACATGGGGTCTTTGCCTATTGACTGTAAGGGAGGAGCTGTACACAGAGCAAGATAAAGCTAGGTGTTCTCCGCTATATGTTTCTAACATCAAAATGAGGGTGTGGATCCCTTCTTCCTAGGATTGTGGTGAGAACTTAGTGGAGATGTGAAGAGAGAGCTGGCGGGTGGTAGGTGCTCGATCAGGGCTAATATAGAATACTTAACAGCCAACTAAGCACGGTGGCTCATGCCTGTAATCCCAACACTGTGGGAGGCCGAGGCAGGAGGATCGTTTGAGGCCAGGAGTTCAAGGCCAACCTGGGCAAAATATTGAGACCTCATTTCCACAAAAAATAAAATAAAAATTAGCTGGACGTGGTGTCAGATGCCTGTAGCCCCAGCTACTTGGGAGGCTGAAGCAAGAGGCTAGCCTATGCCAAGGAGGTGGAGACTGCGGGAGCTGTGATTGTACCACTGCACTCCAGCCTGGGCGACAGGGTGAGACTGCAACTCAAGGACAAAAAAAAAAAAAAGAATATTTAATAGCGGGACATGAGCACTGCTTGATTAGAATGAACATTGGGGGCCGGGCTTGGTGGCTCAGCCTGTAATCTCAGCATTTTGGGAGGCCGAGGTGAATGGATTGTCTGAGCCCATGGGTTCGAGACCCACCCGGGCAACTTGGTGAGACCTCATCTCTACAATAAATCAAAAACTAGCTGGACGTGGTAGCACGTACCTGTAGTTCTGGCTACTTGGAAGGCTGAGGCGGAAGGATCGCCGGAGCCCGGCAGGTCGAAGCTGCGGTGGCCGGGAGTGGCCATTGCACTCCAGTCTGGATGACAGAGTGAGACTCCAACTCAAAAAACAAAACGAAAAAAAGAATGAGCTGGGCCGGGCTCGGTGGCTCAGCCTGTAATCCCGCGTCTTCGGGAGGCTGAGGTGAGTGGATTGCCTGAGCCCGTGGGTTCGAGACCTGCCTGGGCAGCGAGACCTCATCTCTACAATAAATAAAAAAATCAGCCGGGCATAG